TGTCTGTCTGGATATATAAACGTATCAATAAAGATCACGCACCTTGCGTACGTTCCACTATAAAAAAAAAAAAAAAACAATTCAATTTAAAAAAATATATGATAAATTTTTATAATCAGATAAATTTCAACTCTAAACTTTTATTTGATAATCTATAGAGCATTACTACATGCTATAAATCTATAGGTTAGACTTATAAATTATATTATATCAATAATTAAAATATACAGTCAAACCTGAATATAACAAAGCCTTTAGGCTAATTAGTAAAAATTAAAAAAATTTGTTTAAAAATTCATTATAAAGAATTTTTAAAAATTTATATAATAAAATTCTCTTTTTATAATGAATTTTAAATAAATTCAAAATTCAAAAATTTGTTATAACTAGCATTTTATTATAGCTTCATTATAAACAGGTTCATTATATTCAGGTTTGACTGTATATAATAAAATAATATATAATGATTTGAAATTTTAATTATGTATTTCTTTTTTAATATAAATTAATAATAATAATAAAGATTTTTTACATATTTTTTTGTAATATAAGTTTATTATTTTTTTGAAAAAGTTTTTTCAATTATTTTTTTATTTGATTTATATATAACTAGATATATATTATATTAAAGAAACAATATTTTTGAAGTACAAAGTATATAATAAGTTAAATATTAGTTTGCTTATATATTAATATCTAACTATAAATTTTAAAAACAATATTAATATATTAAATATAACTAAGTAACAATTATATCTATCAACTTAGAAATTTTGTAAAAAAGTAAAAGATAAAACAAATATTATTAAAATTTAAACCAAATCAAATATATTATAAAATTTATGAAAATAAAAGTTATTTTTCAAGAAAATTTCTAGTTAAACTTGTTTATTCTAATTTTTTGATATTTTGAAACTTGTAGATATAACTTTTGTTAATATAAATAGTAAAATATAAGTAATATTCTTTATTGTTTTAATAATAAACTAATTTGAACAGATTTAATATTTGTTTTAATTTTTAAATAAAATTTGATTGAATAATTGAAATATATTAATTATTTAAAAAAAATAAACTAATTTTGATTTTTTGATTAAATAAAAATATTAAAAATTTTGAGATAATATAACAAATATTATTATAATAAAGTTGTGTTCAAAAATTAATTTGAAATAAACAATAAACTAACTAACTTTATTTGAATATATTTTTTGAAAAGTATTTGATTTAATAAATATAATAATATTAATCTAAATAATTTTTATAATAAAATAAAAGTAAGAAAAATACAAAAAAACAAAAGAATAAAGGATTACTATAAATCTTTTTTCATATAATAAAAAAATAAGTAAGACTTTTAAACTTAAATAGATTTTAATTGGAGATTTTATTTTATTATATTAATTATTTTAATTTTTAAATTCTTGAATTAAAATTTACTTGTAATAAAGAAAAGAAATTATTTTTTTTGACAAAAATTATTATAAAAGAAAAAGTTTTAATAAAATAAATATAATTAAGAAAAAGTTTTTTTAATTATTATTTTGCAATATAAATTTATATATATACAGTTCTGGTAAAAAAAAGTGGCATTCTTGATTTTTTTAAAATTAAGTAATTAGATTACAAATCTTATTACACTATTGACAAATTTGGTTAATAACTGATTATTTTAAAGTTAAAAAAAATTGTACTACTTAGTATAATGTATAATTACTTTAGTAAAAAAATGTCTTGTCGTTAAGTCTTTGTAAAAGCAAAAACATAAAAAAATCCATGAACTTCAAAAAATAATTCAATATTCAAGAAGAACACTATTTAGATGGGTTGCTTAGCTTGCATAAACAGGTAATCTCAAGTAAAGGCAATGTCCAGGCTGCTCACATCAACTTAATACAGCATAACGGAAGTATCTTGGTCTAATAACTACAAGAGAAAATTAAGCGACAAGCTTGAAATTAACAGAAGCACTCAAAAAAACTTATCTAGACCTTATTATTTCTCCATATATGATATATGATGACCTTCAAAAACTTGATTTTAAAGTCTATGTTTCTTATATAATTTCTTTTTTAATAAAAGCTATAAAGCTTTATCAGCTTGAATAAGTCAAATTACACTTGAGAAGATGATAGAATAATACTATTTTTTCAGATGAGGCAATATTTCAAATGTTTTGCAATACAATACAGATTCGATACAAGTCTGAAAAACTATAACCAAGTCATGAATTGATTAATTATTCTTATAAAGTTCATGTCTGGGTGGCTTTTTATACAAGTGGTACAATAGGACTTTATATTTTTACAGAAAAGATGAATGACAAGCAATATCATAACACTTTACAAAAAAATTTGTTTGAACAAGCATATAACAAGCTCAATAGCATATAGACTATACATGTTACTGAAATTCATAGATCCTTGATGCAATTGACGCAATTATTTGATGCAATTAATTGAGTTACTATTAAAACATATAAATAATTGAATCATGACATAATTATTTTTGAAGATTTTGGGAATTGAGTCAACAACAAAATAATTTACACCACATGTATAATGTAGACTTTCCAACAAGATAATGATCCAAAGTACATTGCTAAGCTTATAATTATTCTTCTTTACAAATGATATCTGTGGATTCTCGATTGGCTGTTATCATTATCGAATTTAAATTCGATTGAGAATTTATAGGCAATCATAAAAAAAAAATGGAAAAGAAAGTAAGTATGCTTATTAGAAAAAAAAAAGTGACACAGCAAATGTTTATATTTATAATTATATAGAAATAGCAAAAAATTGATGTTATTATATATCAAAATTTGGCAAAATTTATAAAGTGACAGTTAGAGTTAATTATATAAAGCAAGGGTGATACAATTGATTATTAAAAATAATACACTTTATAAGTTATATTTTTAGTTAGTTGTAATTAAAATTTTATTAAATTTTAATAAAAATTAATTAAATTATAATTAAATATATATAAGTGCCATTTTTTTTGCTAGAACTGTAATTAAATATTAATATTATAAGAAAAAAAAATTTTTTATAGATAATTAAAATTTTTTTAATATTTAAAAACTTTATTTTATTTTTATCTTATAAATAAAAATTTATTCAAATATTTAAATAATATTTGTTTTCAAATTTAATATATTTTTTAAAGATTAAAATTATTTTTTTTTATTTTAAGTTTTAAAAAATTAATATTAATATATTAAATAAAAGATAATATTTATTATTTTTTTATTTTTTTACCTCTAATCAGACTGCAAATGGAAGTGTTTATTAATCTATTTTAGAGAATAGTAATACAATATATTATAAAAGATAATATTTATTTAAAATCTAAAAATTAAAATTATTTTTTTTATTTTAAATTTTAGAAAAGAATTTAAAAATTAATATTAGATATGTTGAATAAAAAACAATATTTTTCAATATATTAATCAATAGAAAAATAATTATTCAAGTATTTAATTAAACAATTTAACTAATATTCAAGATAATTTAATATCAAAATTCTAACTTTATATACATATAATAAATTAACTTAAAAAATACATATATCAAATTTTAATTATAATTTGAAAATTAATTTGTATAACTATAATATTTTTATATAATTAAGTAACATATTATTCTATCTATTATTATTTTATACTTTTATATAATAGATAGTAATTGAAATTGGTTGGTTTTAAATTAAGCAATTATTAAATTTATTAAAATAATATAAAAAATAAATTCTATTTTATATATAATTTGTACCTTTTCAAATTATTATTAAGTAAAAGAATAATAAAGGTTTTATCACTTTAATATAATATATATAGTATATTATAAAAAAAATCAATTATTTTTTTATTTGTAACTTGGCAAAAATTATTAAAAAAATTATTAATAAATTAAATATAATTAAATTAACAACTATAAATAAATTTACTTAAGATTGCTTTATTAATTATTTTATTATTCAATTTGATATTTTGATTTTTAACAAAAATTTATATTGTATTTTTTTAATTTCTATTTAATTACTGTTTAAAAAAAAGTAATATATATAGTTTTTACTTTTTGAATAAAAGATTCTAAAAAGTAAAATAAAAGAACAAATTAATAAATTAAATAATTTTTTAAAGAAAATATTAATATTAATATAACAAATTTTTAAATAAATACTTATTTAATAATTGTAAAAATTTCAATTATAAAAAAAATTTTTGTCATTTTTTTGCAACATACTGTATACTGTAGCCTAATTAGAAATAAAAAAAAATAAAAAAAATAGTAGAATTTTTTGAGTATTTTACTCTGATATTAATCTGTACAATCATAGAAGAAAAACTTGGCTATTGGATATCAGATTTCTATTTGTTGTGATTATCGGGCTATCAAAGACTCGATCTTACTATGATCCATATATTTTTCTTTGTTAAGTCAAATTTTTTCTATATTATTTTATTTACAAATGTAATATTGAAAACTGTGTTTTTTCAAAAATTACTTTAAAGTACATCTAGAAATAGGATCATATCGCTTTAATTTCTATGAACGCCGCTTGTTAGTAATTGATTTTTGCCCATGATTCCTTCTAAGCATTCGGTACAACTTACCGATGCAAACTTTACTATCATGATCTTCCGTGGAGTGTATAATATAAAATTGTTGTTCTAATTTTACATTCCCCATCTGTACTTGATTAATTCTTTTTTAAGTGTCGAAATTAACTAGTTCTAAAAAGACAATTGTATACATCACAATCATACGGATCTAAGTATAAAAGCGTAAATTAAAAGACACAGAATGGAATTGATCTGATAAAAGATATTGGAATAGGGATGGTGAACGCGAACAGAGGGAAATGTTTATATTACATCACATAATAACTTGAAAAGTTATTATTATTATCATAAAAATGTTTTTTTTCCTTGAAATTTGCATGTGAAGAACTTCATTGAGACGCCATGAACCAAAAAAAGAACAACGTCGCTAAAGTGCATGTATATCCAAGAGATGGTATGATATTATTAGCGTCCGATGAAATGTTTAGATAGTAACTAGAATCGCCAATTATGGAAAAAGGCACAGATTGATTTAGAACCGTGTATCCTGACCAACTGAGGAATGATCGTAATTTAGGCCCAATCGGGCCGCCCGAATAATTGCCGCTCAAAATAATGGATTGGCCTAATGTCTTCCCACGATCTTGCAGGTATCGCATCAAGAAATCACTGGTATTCGAATAAGTTTGATAATCCACGTGACTTACACTTGATCCGCCCACATATGGGACTAGAGAAGTCTCGAGAATGATTGCTTGACTAATGTCACTCGAGTTCACAGGCAATAATCCTATCGCTTTTGGAGTAGTGGCATATGTCATCACTTGCTTCGCCAAATTATATTGTGACGAGGCTTCGAATTGAGAAATAAATTGAGAGGAGTTGGCGAACAATGCACCAGGTCCTCCAGCGAAGGTATTAAGTTGCTTGGTAATATTTGAAATTCGCTGTCCAGTCGATAGAATAACCATAAATTTATCAAATATCATCTCCACGAATCCTGTGAATATGATTCCGCTGGAATTTGAACTTTGAGTAACCGCGATATAAGGAGTTAGTGCCACGGCCGGATTATTTAAATAATCTTCGTAACCAGTAGTAAACCCTAGTCCGTGCATAAGCTCATGCACGATGAGAAACAAGAAATCTGATTGATCTGCATGAATCGGTCCATCACCGTCAAACCAATAATTGGTATCGCTATTAAAAAGCGCTAATATATCAAAGGAAGAGTAGGCCGGATGGTTGTCTAAATTCATTTGCTTGACAAGAGACTGAGGAAATAATCTCGTAACACCATCACTGTCCAATATTTCCATGGTTCTCGCTGGCGCTGCGCCACCTAAAATAGTTATGATAGATTTTACAATAGGTCATTTTTCTTTTTATGAGAAAGTTAACCGGATCAAACAAATATCTGTTTTCTTTTTTTAATACCTACCAAGAGTGATAAGAGTTGTTGTTGGAGTACTACATTCATTGTATAAAACGCAGAAACTGGTAAAAGTAGCATTGACCGTTACAGGAGTCTTGAATGCTATACTCGCGGTGATTAATTTCCCTGCCGTGGTAAATGCAGTTTTTACCTTATTGCAAAGTGTTTGATCGTTGACAGTGCAAGTAAAGGTGACAACGAACATATCATCATTATCGCGCTTTAAATTTGGAGGATTCCCTGATTCCGTTGGACAATCGGCTTTTATAAATTCTTTTGGTCGTCGAGGATCCACAAGATCCCAACAAGTCGATGCGAAAATACGAAAAATATTTAATAAAAAAAATAATGAAAAAGCCAATAAAGACGACAGCCTCATCCTGGGAATGTTTGCTCAAATTTATTATTATTTTGAAAATTCTACAAAGCAATCAATAACACACTGCAATTAAAAGGTCTGAAAAAAGCTTATATTAGTCTTTTTTATTTAAAAAAAAAAAAGATCGGAAATACTTGGAGGATTTAAAAATAGTATTTATAGTAAATTAAATAAGAACTGTAAAGAGGCGAAGTGTATACAGTAAATGGCTTTATTGGCTATGTAATGCAGTAGCGTTGAAGGTTGTCCAATAAGGAATTCCTAGGCAACAATATAAAATATTCTGGGAAAAAATTTGACCCTTTATCTGTCGAATATACCTTAAGTTCGGATCAAGAGACATTCCATGAGGTAACCGAAACTTAGTTTGCCAAGAGTGATTAAGAATAAAATTACAAAAACTCCCCGGAGGAACCTTCCATATCGGGCCATGCATCCTCCAAAGATTGGATCCGAAGGTCTTTTTCACCAATAGAATCTTGTCGACATTACGTATGCTGGTCACTTGTACATGGTTTATTTGTGCCAAGAAGCCAAAACATTAAACGAAAAAAAGAATCGATATGCAAATGTTCAAAAGAAACTTTTGTTAAGTAGACAAAGCCTTTACTTTAACACATGTTGATTCTAATTGGTCATCAATATCTCACACAGCCAGCTCTCGAGGGGACTAAAAAAAAATTCATACCGTAAATGAGGCTGTTTGGTCAAGGTTTGAAACATCATGACACAAATATGATAACTTTTTGACGAAAGGTATTATCTTGTGATGACCAAAGGATGGTTGTCGAAATATTCAATTTACGCCAAGAATTGTATCATCAGTCCAATTAATGACTTTAAATACAATATGCGTATTTTTCACAATACGTATCTGATTATGATGATCGCAAACCTTCTTTTAGACCATCGATTTGTCAAATTGAGAGTATTACTGTCCATCTTTCGATTTACTCTAATGTCACATGACAACGCAACGATCCAATTTTTTGTATCATTTAGTTCCTAGTGAAAATTTTATATGATTTCGAATGAATATTCAAATTTAATCAATTTTCACATCACATCAAGATAATCAGAATACGATTTTCTTATAATTTAAAAAATTTTTTATTTGATAAAATAAAATTTAACAATTACAATAATATCAAATATGTACAATATACTATATATTGTATATAGTATTGGGAAAAAAAAAAAGCAATTACAGAATAACTGTGTTAAATAATATAATATTTTAACACATACTTACTGTATATTATAAGTTTAATAAAAAAAGAACTAATATAGTATCTTTTTATTTTTATTATTTAATATCTATTAATATATACTATATAGACAAAAGTATTACATGTCTTAAATTTATTATTATATAAAAATATATATATATAATAACTTTATTTAAAATTTTAATATGTTATTGTTTATATTTTAAAAAAACATGTGTATAATTTTCAAATTTTTTCAATAGATAAATATTAAATTAAATATAAATACATTTATCTTTCTAGTATTTTTAATTTCAAAAATATATCATTTAATTGAAAATCAATGTAGTAAAACTATAAGTTTCTATAAAGATAAACAATTCTTATCAAAAATTTCAAAACTTCTTAAAATTCATAAAACAATTGTTTCTCATACAATTAAAAATTATCTTAATAAAAACAATCTTGCTACTTTTTCTAAAACTGAATATTAAAAAACATCGATTTTTAAAAACAAAAACATTTTAAAAAAAATTGTTAAAAAAAACAACAAGAAATCTGCAAAACAAATTAGAAACAAATTTATTAAAAAAAACAATATTGAAATTTTTATTAAGACAATTAGAAGAAATTTATATGAAATAAATATTTTTTCTTATATACTAGCTCAAAAATTACTTTTAAATAATCAACAAAGAGAAAATTGTCTAAAATAATATATTAAAAGAAAAGATTAGACTATTAAAAAATGGAAGATTATTATATAGAATAATGAAAGTAGATTTATAATATTTAAAAATGATAATCTTGATCATGTTTAAAGAACTCCTAATATAAGATATAATATTGAAAATATGATTTCAACAGTAAAATTTGAAAATGGAGAAATAATAGTATGGAGATGTTTTTTAAATAAAAAATTGGATCTATTAATAAAAGTAAATGGCAAATTAAATAAATTATATTATATTAAAATACTTAAAAAGTATTTATTACTTTTAATTAATAATAATTTTAATTATAAATAAGAAGGGTCCTTAAATTATTTAACATATAAAATTTTACAGATTAATTATATTTCTTTTGAAGAGATATAATTATTTATTTATTACTTTAATAGGAACATAATTCAAAAAACACTTGAATCAAGTGACCTAAATTGCAAAAA